CAACCTAACAAGCTCTTCGGTGGCCATTAGGCAGACCTGTCAACCCACGAATGCCTTTTTTCAACCTAGAAGTAACGGTAACAATCTTAATTTGTTGTTTTATATTGTAAATTTGTTACTGTACTACAGCTAACGATCTCAGGACAGAGTTTATTGTGATAAACATAGAAGGTATGAATGAAAATAAATCGCTTAACTTATGCACTTTGATAATATTTTTACCAGAAATACATGTTGGTAATACTTCAAAATACAATTTTATATTAGATCATCTATATTTCCCGCCATGGTATTCTTAGTATTGTAGTGATGTATCATGCTAATCATGGTGTTGAAAACACCTCCCAGTTCAAATTAATAAGCGCTATCGCACTTGATACAAAGTATTCAGAATGGCCTAGAACACTGTCATGGTTATTTGCAAGTGGCTTCCTATTTCACACCATATCTGATTTTTTAGATCTGTTGATTGCCTCAGAAATATTACTATGTGGCAGCATGACCTCATGTCAGATATAAAAGTTCTGATGAATTTATAGTTATTCCCATTCATACCTCTTCCTACTAAGAATGTTCATTCATGGGTCAGTATTTTTGGAAAAAAAGCAATTCTGATTGGTGCGCAGCTTGTAAGCCAGGTGCACATGAACATTTGTATGTGGTAACAAGACTCTGTGCATCCCCTTTGCATTGTTACCTTTTCCTTCTATGCATAAGCATTTTAGCATATTTGTCATTTTATTTACTTTATCCAGATGGTATCAGACTGTTTTCCTTGCACACACTCCATATCATCTCTAGGTAGTCCATAACTCAGTTTAAGAATAATGACAATAATTAACATTTTGTGGTTAATCCACTAAGCTAGGGCAAACTAACGACAATATTCTTGAAGAGCACAAAAAGCTGATGTAGTTGGTACAAGATTTAATCTGCAGACATGAATGGTAGTGTCACAAATAAAGAGAAAGGCTCAGGAAAGTGGCATGAATGGTAGTGTCACAAATAAAGGTAAATGCTCGGGAAAGTGCCTCACAGCCTAAGTCCAGTCGGTACTCCCAAGTTTTAGCTCTTTCTTGCTGTGCATACTGAGGTGAAGACAATATTTCCCCAAGGGGTGTTAGGGGGCTGGGGAACTGGGCAAGTTGCATTACTGAATAAAGTGACATGGTTGAGGACTTAGTCACTGGTGAATGTGTCCAAACAAAAAAGAATTACCCATTTTGTTATATAGCGATTTCACATTACCCTGGCCCACAGCCAGATTTTCTCATATTCGCACCCCCTCAAGTAAATTTTTTTTATGATGTGATGGTAATGTCACCCAGATCATAGGGGTTAATGAGATATCTGGAAAGATTATCCATCTAAGAACCAATTGGAATTATTCCCATATATTCTTAAATTCCATTCTATACATAATAATAACAACAATAATAAAAAATAATTTAGGTTTTCGTGCCGTACACTGCACTTTTAAATTATTTTGTGTGAAAGGAATGGCCCGTGTTGCCATCCAATGGCAGTGCGGGATTTCAAAACCAGTACGCAAGAATTACTAGACAAGAATACTGCTACTGCACCACACTGCATAGGTGTGTAACCAGTTTTAAATCATTTTAACATCTTCAATTTGCCATAAATAAATCATTGTTGAGCATTTGTCTCCATGTCTATCAGCACTCCTGTCAGAGTGAACAAACTTCCACGACAAGCATTCTGACAAGACACGAGATAGTCAATATTTATGCTGGCAATATAAAGTTTATCAACCTTCCTGGTAATTTAGTGCCAAATAAGGAACCAGGCCATGTTCTGTCTAGCTAGAGTATATGTCAGGTAATAATGTTTAGGTCAAAACAGCTGTCTGGTACAAAGTAAACAGAATTTGTATCAAACAGAATGACAACATATATAACACAATACCTTCAGCACTTCTGGTACAATTAGAAAATAAATGTTACTCAGCCTGAATAAAAAAACAACTAAAACAAAAACACAAACCCAGTCTACAGCCTTCCACCACAGATCAGACCGAGTTCCCAGTGGTTTAGGACAGAGCACAGCTAATTAAGGGGTCCTATGGATACCTTTCAAAGACAAAAAAAATTAAGTTTATCGGTCTACAGATTCTATTCACTTTTTAACTTGTCGTGTATATAAATAAACCCGAAACTGTGTTTACGGTAGAACAAAGTTACCTTAAACTTGCTTCATTTTTCGACCATTTTCGTATCACACTGATGTCCGCGTGTCAAGCAGAAGCACTCTTCACCATACATACTTCTACTAGCCATCATTTTTCCGCCAATGGCAATAAAAATAAAATAAAAAATGCCTTCGTACAAACCACACAGACGAGATCACTTCGAATAAAAAAAAGGCAGAACCCTCTGTCAAAATCACATATAATCACTTCACTCTCATTACAGACACAAGAGACTGCGCCACACACTCACCACAGACAGAGACACATTAACAAAGACCTCTAAATAATTAC